TTTGCCTAGTAACGATGAATTCGTCGAGAAAATGGTAATATTTTATGAGAAATAGTCTGTATTTCTCATTTTTTTTATTCTTTTGTGTAAAACTAAAATTCATGCCAATATTTTTTCATGATTTATAATAATTATGCAAATGCATATTTTCTAAAAAAAGTCATTTTTAGTGAAATTTTGCCGGGAATGGGGCTTTGAATTACGCAAAAAAATTAAAATTATTAGGCTCTATCGCCGTCCCTACGTACGTAGACCTATGCATTGACAATCCCATAAAACATAACCACAGAAACTGACGACACAACCTAGGGCCTACCACTAGCCAAGTAGTAAAGCCAGGGTATTCCACATTTAATGTCGAAAAATACGGTCGGTTCGTGCGGGTAACCAAAGATACTAGAAATACAATATAGAGTTCTCCACACAAAAAAAGTGTTCCACCGTGTTCCACCGAAATGCATGGTGGGAATACGAAAAATGGGACGCCCCCTACAGCTGGATCTAAAAAAACTTGTGCCAAACTTTCGTTACCAAGTCGTCGCGTATTTTATTATCAATTCTCAACAAAGATACTAGATATAAAAACAAACTGGAATAAACACCAAGACAGTGACATCGGTGAATACATACCTCCTTGGTGGCGGTAGAAATCGTTGCTATTATCCAAATAATACACAAAACAATTAAAGCATAATCATGAATCAGTAAAGAATAAAACAACAATACAGCGCAGAATCGCATGGCCGGACGCACACTTAGTGAAAAAGTTTCCTTCATTAGTGGAAAAGGAAGGGCGCCTTTTGCGTCTGGATATACTTAGCAACAGAAGGGCGCCCTGTACGTTGGGCACGAAGTATAGGAAACTTTCATGGTTAAAAAGAAGGGCGCCGCCTACGTTGGGCACGACTTCCGCCTCATTTTTACAATGCGAGAACTCTATCTTTAGTCCACCAGAAATACGGATTTGAAGCACCAAAGTTGGACATAATTGCAACAAAACGTTTTTTTATGAATATCTATAGTTAAATTTTATATCTACAACATACAAAAAGTTTACCAAAATATACCCACGGGAAAGGTGATTTTTATAGCAAAGAAAACTGAACTATTTCACTGGGCTTATACGCTGTGCCTAGGATGTGTGTGCTGTGCCTTGGTTACGAAGCGCTTTAATTTGATTTACCGCTGACGCTTTTGATTGGTTAACATACCTTCAACAGTCTGCGCGTACTCATTTACGCAACACACAGACGTACGTACGTAAGTACGCAAGTTCGTACGTACGTCACGTCCCAGAATGTAAACACGGAAATTGTTAGATATTATACCTCTGTAATATTTAATTTCAGGGTAGATGGATCTACAACAATAATTCAATTTTAATTTTAAATACAATGATAGGTACGATTAATTTACAAATAGTGAGGCCTGCCCAGTGTGTGCCGACCCAGCTGAGACTCAGGAGCCG